GCCTCGGAAACAGCGTCAGCATGAATCTTCCAGTAAAGCCAATCGACAGCTGGTCAAGAGGAATCGGCCAACGTCTTCTAGTGGAACCGACCTTCGAATCTCTTTACTTAAAACTTCCACTCCAAATGTAAGTAAGCTCAACAATTATGAAGCAAGAGATTCCTCAAAACCCAAATTTTCTTCGCATATAAACGTATTTTGCCATATAATAAACGACGTTACTTTTTTCGATATAAGTAGTTTTCGAGGCTATTGGAAATTCTTGAATAGTTTAAGTATTAGTTATAGTCTCGAAACTCTAATCAAACACGAAAAATACGTTTGCCTCATCGACGAGTCTCCAATACCTTTGAGTTGGATGAACACCGGCTTGCATTGAATGTCCCATTTGCCCAGTGACCCAGTGACGTTCTAGTGGAGTGGAATAGAGTACTAACATCGCCACGATACTCACAACCCAACATCGAATCCCACGAGGTCGAAACTGCAGTTCGGCCTGGATGAGATAGACTTCCTCGGAGGCAAGGCTAAATAAAACTGAATTGTCTTCTGAGGACTCGGTTCTAACTCCTTATCTCACCTTAATTCTACTCTGTCTGACCTCAGAAAGGGCAACTCGCAGGTTCGGCCTCGCGTAGGTCTTATCATCATCCCAAATGGCACTCGAAACTGAGTATTGAGTATCTTGGTGATTCGGTACCACTCCGCTACCCAGTCGCATGTACTAGTTGGTCACAGGGCCGATGTAGCTTTCAAGGAAAGCCAGGCCTTTTCGAAGCAGAGCATTAATACGGGGTTTGTAGATGAGTCAAATATTTAGTCGTTACTTATTTTCATTTTAAGAATGTTTCGAAAATACCAGAAATTCCTGGTTCATAACTTAAGGCCAACTCTTATGATTGTAGGAAAACTGCCCTATAGGCAATTGGATGCACAATTTATATTCAATGATAGTTGTGAAATCAATTCACACCAAAAATGTCTGGGGAATAGCCCCTATTATAATCATCCATTGTGATTGTCAAGCGAAAGAGCGTACACAAAAATTCATCTTCCGAGGCAACTAGGCTTCGAGCAGACACTTAGCCCACACACAGAAATGCTTATGTGCAATAGCGTACATGTGCATATGTTTGTTCATTTGTGTGGGTGCTTGGTCATCTGTGCAAGTGTGTATGAAGACAGTGCAATCAGGAAGAAGTCGATTGTCCAAATGTAGCTCTTCTCTTGCTGGATTGTTGACAAGACGAAAAAATAAATCTTGTGAAATTGGATGTTTGGCCTCCATGATGTTGCTTTCTTTTGGGAGCAAAAGACTTTTCTCCTTTATTTCGCTCACCAGGCCAGTAGGGTCCGCGGTCGACTTGACATCAGCAAACTCAATGCCGAAATCTTCCATTTACGACTGCCGGCGAGTTGACATTAACTATTTGTGCTAATGGCAAGTCTGCGAATACTATACATTCGTTAGCCCATTGGGACAAACGCTTGTGTACATCACCTCATTTCTCCTGACGGCATGCTTACATGCTTAGATTCTAGGCATTATAGTCCCAACAAGATGATGAATTTTTCCAGAATGGCATGAGTACGCCACGCGATCTCTCACTACTTACCATGCATATGAGTAACAGAGACGATTTTAATGGCAAACTGTACGTTTTCCTCAGCTGCAATCCTACTGTAAGTATGTCATGGAAGAGATCTGGCTTGCCTTAAATTTAGCTTTTGCACTCATGACAGTGTGGCTGCAGTGCCTGAATTCAATTCCTGTCGGGGGTGTTAATGAGACCCGAACGAGGTCGAGACTGCAGTCCAGTCCAGCCTGGATGAGAAAACTTTGTGGGAAGCAATTCGAAGTGGAAAAGTTCAACAATCAGACCTTCGTTACTTGCAACTACCATTTACGATCTACTGATGGGCTCGAAACCTGGCTATAGCGCGTCAGAGTGAGGCATATGACAACATCTACCCGACCTGAAAACACCGACTGTGAACAGAAGGTTGGCGCCAAGAAAGCAACTTAAGGCAAGATACGCGCTGACGTTACTTCCGGATCCTTATTGTCATGGCTACCTCTGAGCTTGTGATAGTCTAGCACCATATTAACTGATCTGGCATGAAATGTGAACAACAATGGAGATGGAAAAAGGATCACATCACTTGCTTTATTGCTACCAGTTTGTTTAGTGTATAATTAATTAATGTAGAAGAACTCCACAATTTTGCTAGACCCTGCCATATCCGATGTTATGACGACTCTTTCCACGAAGACATGTCCTAGTTCACTCGTTCAGATGTAGCCTAAAATGCAAGCTTCCCGCGGCAAGTCTGTTCCATAACAGCCAAAGCCGACTGACTCGAGACCCCTTGGGAAAATTCATGAATGAGGCTAATTTCCCACTTGGTTTTACTCGTTCGTTGTCGTTTGTGCATTCGAGTATCCATCGGGAGTTTTATGACAGTCTACCCTTTGCCAGAATGCTTTTCAGGCCACCAATTTCATAGATTTTAGTGGGCAATATTGGACAATGATTGGACTAGCCTAGCAACGATAAATATGTTTACTCGCATAACGTTTTTTCCCCAGCCGGATGCTAGGCCTACGTGGTCGAAATGCTGGTATGGAAGTCGGCAGCCGAGGTGAAAAGTAGTTATTAAGCGCGTAAAATTCGGGGTCAAAAATAACTTTGGTAGCATTGCACTAAAAACGCCTATGTGGTGCAGCTATAAAGGGAAGCTGCT